CGAGGGGCTAGAAATGTGTTCTGTTCTTACATATAAGGGCCAGTACTGGTCTACTTTTAGACCTTTGCACAGAAGAATTACTGTGATCTGTTAGTGCAATGATCTGATAGTTTTCCACCTGCTGTATAGATTTTAGAAATTATTTTGGAGTCTAGGAACATTATAAGAGCATCTTATTTTTAAACATTTTCCAACTAAATCTGATTATTTCCTTTTTAGAGAAACGCAAGAAATATCCAATTCATCATCTTTAAAAATTTAGGTCAGACAGTTTAAAACTAGATTTGGTAAATAGTGGTACAAATATTATAGTTTCATATTATGGTTCTTTGAGGACTTTAGAGAGACAAGGAGAGTGAAACAGAGTATGGAAGAGGCACATATGAATGACAGATGAGTGCATTTGTGAGTTTCTGGATTGAGTATATTTGTTGGAAGAAAATGGCTCTTGTCCTGATTAACAACTCTATTTTAAATTTCTGATTGGGCTTCCATGACCCCTACCTATTATGTTGTAGACTAGCCTTTTCTGCTTTTATTTTCAAACTTCAAAATTTAGCTGTGCTAATGGTTTACATTGTGTAATTCTGAAGCCATTGCTATACTTAAAGAAATAACAGATTCTAGAAATTTCTTAGAAAACTTTGGTGCCTCAGTTACTTCAGTTGGCTTTGCCTGTCAATTCCTTGAATATTCAAAAGCTGGCTATTGCTTAATTTAGACTAATTTGGTGGTGCAGAATACTGGACCAGAAAGTCAGAAGACTTGGGTTCAAATCCTGACTTTGACATTTATTTTATTATTAAAATGACCTTCCCTTTAGTTTATCTTTTTAAAAATTTATTATTTATTTATTTCTAACACCTTTGACATTTATTGCTATTGTGATGTTTGACAAGGGTATTAAACTTTATGAACTTTAGTTTGCTCATCTGTAATAGGCAATTGGACGAAATCAGGAGTTCTTATCCTTTTTGTTTGTCATGTACCCACTCAGAATAATGTTTTAAAATACATAGAATATATAGCATTACCAAGGAAGAAAATTATATTGAAATACATATATCAAAATATTTTTAAAAAATTCATGGGCACGAGGTTAAGAACCCCTGGATGAGATACTCTAAAGTCCCTTCTAATTCTAAATCCCATTTTTAATGGCATTTTCCAGTGCTGTTACATTCCAGTGTAGCAAGACTCATCATTTATTTAACTTCTTTTTCTTGGTCTTTCAGGAAAAAATAAACAACTTTCCAAATAAAATTCAAGGTGTGTGTGTGTGTGTGTGTGTGTGTGTGTGTGTGTGTGTGTGTAGTTATGTCCTGATAGAGACCCTTTATAGGTATCTTGATAATAGTGTAACAATCCAACTTCCCCCCTTCCCCTCAAAAAAAAAGTTAAGAAAAGAAAGAATCTCTTTAGGTTTAATCAGGTTTCACTTGCCTTATCAAGTCTCTAGCTCTGAAAGGGATCGCCACAGTATCCAACCTGGGGGAGAAATTATTTTCTGTTTTGCAGCTCATTTTTCCTTACTTAATGCCAAGCTCAGCTGAAATTAAACCGAGGCCTAGATCTGGCTGGGTTTGGAGATCCCTGCTTGTGAGGGTGTCTGTACATCTTTAGTTTAGTGAATAGAGTTGGAGACTTGGAGTGAGGTAAGTGACTTGGGTTATAGTCCTCCCTTATGTACTTACTAATTGTATGATCATTGACAAAAATGTCATGTAATCTGGTTTCCCTTCTGTAAAATGAGTTTAATAATACTTTGCACTACCAACCTCACAAGTTGGTTGTCAGGGGAATGCTTTTGTAAACCTTTGAGATGGCTGATGAATGTCCTTATAATTCTTCAAAGTGCTCTTCAGGAATTAGACTAGTTTAGAAATGAAGAGGGAGCCAGAAAAATGTGAATAATCTGTTTACTCAGTTGTTAGTATGTAACACCCTCCAGAAAGGGTATGTTTCTGTCTGGCGCGTGTTAACGGTTCTTCCAACAGAGTTGTTTTTGTCCGCATTCATTAGCACATTTGCTGATCTCGCTAAGTAAAGCAATTACTGTATTTTAACCATCTTTTCCAATAGGAAACATAGTGTTTATTGGCCAGATGTCGATGTGACACCCTGGCAAATTATCAGCTGTTACCGCATAATTATGTAAGGCACCAGTTGGGCGCCATCTCCAAGTGAAGGTGTAGACATGGAGCGTGATGTGTTAGGGTTTTAACTTGGGTTACTCTCTGAAATTAGAGAATAGCTTTCAGCAGATTTTATTAATGAATGTGCTGTTTATAGTCCTATCATGAAGGATAGTCTGAATTTGAGTTAAGTAAGACTCAGTGAAAACCCTACTTTCCTTGGGGCTGCACATTGACATGGAGGTTCTCAATAGCTCTTCCTAAGGAATAGGTAAGACTATACCATTCCCTTTCTCAAGAACCTTTAGTGACTCACTGCTGTTAACTCTGTGGTAAAATGCAAAAAAAAAAAAATCCCTCTCACATGGGCCCCAACTTGTCTTTCTAGACTAATTTAACATTATTCCCCACAACAAATTTTATATTCCAGCTAACATAGCTGTTCCCCAAAGTGGGTATTCAGTCTCCCCCTTGTGTGTATTTGCATAGGTTATCCTTCATTCCTGGAATGCAAGGCTTGTTCATGGCAGTCTCTTAGGAGCCTTAGCTTTCTGCAAGGCTCAGTTTGGGCATCCTTCTTATGCCAATATCTTCCTGCCTTCCTATGCCTTGCTCCACCCCACCCTCCCAATCCCTCTCATTGTTAGTGCTTTCTCCTTCCTTACATTGCCTTGTACTTACTTTTTTGTGCATATCACATCTTTCTGGAGAATGTGAGTTCCTTAAAGGCATGACTGTTTCATTTTTGTCTTTACACCCCCAGCACCCAGCTCAGTTCCTTGTATACAGTAGTTCCTTAATATTTGTTGAGTGCAGCAGTATCAGATCCTATTATCAAGTTTGGTCTTGGTGATAGGCTATATTTTCGTTTCTTGAAACCCACCTAAATAATATGAGATGTCTTTTTGATCACATATGCTCCTGAAGTCAGGCTAATCTATATCAGTGGTACTAGTTTTCTCATGAAAGAAATCGTGAATCTTTTGAAGTATTGAAATTGATTTTGCTACCTTGTTAAGAACTATGACTCTCAGAAAACAATGACTAGAGTTGGTCTTTCATTCAAAATATTGGGCAGTTAATGAAATCCAAGACTAAAATTTCTTATAGGCTTGCTATGACTGTAATAAATATAAACACACAAATAACTATTATCACAGTGGTAATATGATAATTACATTGAGGGTCCAACTGAATTATATGAGAAATTAGAGAATAGACAGATAATTGTCCATTGACTGGGTGATCAGGAAAGATTTCACGGAAAAGGTAGCAGCTGAGCTGAGCTGTGGAAGGGAAGGTCTTCAAAAGCCAGAAAGGCAGCCCCAGGTTTCTCCTCTGTAAAATGAGGATAATAGCAATACCAGCTTAACCTGTTAACAGGGTTATTGTGAGGATCAAATGAGATATAATACAGTTATCCCTTATACATCTTAGATGTTAGAGGTGAAGCGCCCCCATGATCTGGAAAATCCATGTAAAGTTTTTTGGTCCTCCCTTCATACCAGAGAAGAAGTCTGAATTATTGTGGTATTAAAAGAGAAAATATATTGATAGTATATAATACTATACATATATTTTATGCATTCTTGAGTTTCTAACCTTTTTCTGTTTCATCTTCTGGCCTTCACATGTCATCTCTGGCTTCCACAAAACTCCACCAAAATTTCTTATGCCTACCTGCAATATCCCCCAATGGGGAAATTTGTGATATGGAAGGGATAACAGCATATATGTAAAATACTTTGCAAACAAATCTTTAAACTTTATATAAATGTCATCTATAGAAGTGTAGAGGACATCACTTGAGGATTATACATTTTTTGCATGTATCTCTCTTTTAACTCCCTGTATTTTGAGAGCAAATTTAAGAGAAAAATGTTCCTTAAAAATTTTTTTTTGAGAAAAAAATGACGTTAGTGAAGTTCAGAATTATGTACAAGGTCATAGAGGTGAGAAAGTGCAAGACTAGATCAGGAAATAAGTAGTTCACTTTGGTACATAAGCTTTGTGAGAGGTTGTATGATATAATGACTAGAAGTTTGAACCAAGTTGTTGAGGGCCCTGATTTCTGGTCTAAGTAAGTAGTTTGTATTTTATTTAGAATCAAAAAACCACTGAAATGTTTTAACAGACCTCTATGACGTGGTGTTTATCCTGGCAGTGATCTGAAGGATACAGTGGGAAAAGGACGAGATTAGACACAGGAAGATTGGGTAGCAGGCTATTATAATAGTTTAGGAGAAGAGTAGCGATGACCTGAGCCAGGGTGTCAGCAGGAAGAGAGTAGATGATGGTGTTTGACAACCCTTAGATAGAATCAAATTGATAGGTAAGATCTGTCAGCTGATTAGATGATAAGGGTGAAGACTCAAAAATAATTGAATTATGAGTGTTGGAAAAGGTCAGAGGTGCTATCAGCAGAAACTGAGAAGTTAGAAGGAAGGACATGGAGGGAGGGGGAAGAGATGAGTTCAGTTTTGTATGTGTGGAGTTTGAAGTATCAGTGGTGTATCTAGGTGGAGGTATCAAGAGGGCCTCTCCAAATACTGTTGGTGGTTGGCATAGGGTGACAAAAGCAGATAACTAAGGAGGGGATGGGGTACTACTTTAGTCATGGTCACAACAGGAGAGATAGATGCAGTGGTCCATAGCATGGACATTCATTCAAAAACGAATAATAAAAAGAGTTCAGAAATTTTCCATGGGGTGGTTAGGAAATCTTTGTGTCTGTTTTTTGATCCTGGAAACTGTCTTTGATGATATAAAGTGCATTTCATTTTTAAATGGTCCTGTTTAATGTGTGAAATCTTGTCTCATTTAAAGACTAATTTTTCCCCATATCTCCTTCTTCTTTTTAAATAGCTTAAACATCATGGAGCTGTATTTTGGAGAATATAAGCACGTGCAGCAGGAATATGGAGTACATCTTAGGCTTGAAAGTGATGAGACCAAGAAATCAAGGCTTTCTCAGAATGCCAAGACAGGATCTTATGGTGTCAGTATTAGAGTACAAGGAATTGATGGCCACCCATACATTGTACTGAATAATACAGAGAGATGTTTGTCAGGCGTTCCCTTTGCAGAAAATGGGCCATCGTTTACATCTCCAGCAGTCAGTGACCTGCCTTTACATTCCAACATTGATCCCAGACTGGAAGAGAAAGCCAGTGAAGAACTCCGGTTCCCAGAAAATCCATATGCACAGCCTATTACCTTTAGAAGTCTAAAGCCAGCCAGTCTTTATGAAGGTAAAAACGGATTTCTTGACCACAAAGATAGTTCACTAAAATCTTCCAACATGTTGAACTTTCAGAGACACCCTGAACTTTTGCAGCCTTATAATCCTGAAAAGAATGAGTTGAATTTAGAGACTCACAGATCTCCTGAGTGCAATTGGACCAAAACACCTACAGAGGAAACTCGAAATGATAAACGTTCTCGAACTTGCTTTTCTAAACCTGCTACTTCTCAGCCAGCTAGTGTGCCTTCAGGAGATATGTCAAAATGCAATGTGACAGCCATTCGTTTGTGCAGCTCTATTGTGATAGATGATCCCAAGAAGCAGGCATCAGTGTGTCTGAATGTTCAGAGCTGTGCCAACGAGGGGCTGCCAGCTGAATCTCCTACTCCCAGCGAGAAACCCCTCATTGCCATTCACCCAGGTACTCATCAGGAAAGCAAAAAAAGTAGGCCAGATGTTCTCCCTTTTCGCCGACAAGATTCTGCTGGGCCAGTATTGGATGGTTACAGGTCGCGGAGATCCTCCTCTTCCTCAGCAACCCCCACTTCAGCCAACTCTTTGTACAAATTTTTACTGGATGACCAAGATTATGCCATCCATGCTGACAATGTGAATCGTCATGAAAATAGAAGATATATTCCCTTCATGCCAGGGACAGGCAGAGATATTGACACAGGATCCATTCCAGGTGTAGATCAATTAATTGAAAAATTTGATCAGAAAGTTGGCTCTCAGAGAAGAGGGAGATCTGGGAAACGGAACAGAATTCATCCAGATGATCGAAAGAGGTCTAGAAGTGTAGATAGTGCCTTTCCTTTTGGTCTACAGGGAGACTCTGAGTACTTAGATGAGTTTAGCCGAAACTTGGGTAAATCAAATGAACATCTCCTCAGACCATCTCAAGTTTGGCAGCAGAAGCCCCTGTCTCGAGATCGCCGCCTGCCTTCTGGTGGGAAACATACCATGGTAGGGCAGACTTCTGGGAAACTGCAGGAACCAGGTCAGGATGCTCTCGATGGACAGCCCAGGCCTTCGCAGTTCAGTAATGCAAGCAAAGGTTATGAAAATAAAGTTAACAAAGACAGTGGGATGAAAAGACCTCCCACACTCTCAGCCCAGAATAAAAAGGAGGAAGAAATAAAAACAGCAACTGCCACTGTGTTGTTACAGAATCAGGCTGTGGCCACATCTCCTGATTCAGGAACGAAGAAAATTTCCATCAAGACAGTATCCTCTGCTACAAATACTCAGGTAATTCTCATGAGACAAATGGTTTTGTTTTTTTTTTAGGCAGTTGGGGTTAAGTGACTTGCCCAGGGTCACACAGCTAGTGACAAGTGTTTGGTTTGAGGCCAGATTTGAACTCAGGTCTTCTTGACTTCAGGGCTGGTGCTTTATCCACTGTGCCACCTAGCTGCTCCGCAAATGGCTTTTTCAAAATGGCTTCAATGACAGAGCAGGACAGGGCAAAGAGCAGTGAGTCAAAGGACTTGGATTCATATCCTGCCTCCCCTACTCACTATTTGTGTGACCTTGGGCAAGTCACTGAAACTCTGGGCTTTTGTTTCTTCATTTGTAAAATCTGGAGGTTGGACTAAATGGTACCCTAGGTCCCTTCTAACTCTACTGCTATGTTCCTAAGATCCTTTATGGGAATGGGGAATTAATAAAATATATGTGAAATTAAGCACATTTTGACTTTGTTTAAAAAAAAAAAACCATTAGCCTAGGTTTGACAGCTTGAAAACTTCACATAGTCAGGGTTCCTAGTATTACATATAGATATAATGGTTAAAGTATATAATCATACGTAGATTAGGGATAAATAATACCTAAGTTATTTCAAGATTTTGTGATTTTGTTGATGCTCATGGACACAGATTGTGACCCTTCTCTGAGGTGGTAACTAGTCTTTGACAATTTCCATGGCTAAAAATTCATTACCCTGCAGCTAGCCTGAAGATGAGTTTCTCTGAATTTAACTAGTCTTTCAGACCAGACAATACAGATTATAACCAGACCTGTTACCAAAGCTTTACCAGTTTGGTCAGAACTGCCAGAATTCATTCTCTTCTGTCATAATCTTTGAGAACCCAGGGTTACCTCCATGTTCTTGAGAAATTCTAATGGAGGATAGACAAATACCATCTCTGAGGGAAAAAAATCAAAATTTGCCTTATTATTTATTATCATATTATATAATTAATTATTAATCATACTATAATTATATTACGGTTGTCCAGACCATAGTAAACATCTCCATATGTCAGTCATTAATTACACATCAGTGGATTTTTTTAAGATTTTATGTATGTAGGTACATATAGGTAAACCAATTGGGTTGTTTTCCCAGTTTCATTTAAAGAGCGAGTATGTATATCTACACATACACATACATGTAAATAATCATATACGTATACATACATAAATGTAATCATCTTTCTGTTACCTATCTTTGTGACAATGTAGGGTAATCAAGATTTTTCAGATGAGAGGCACAAAGAGGTATGTAACCTTATGGAGATTTAATCCTTAATGGCGAAGGGATAGGGCAGAAGTGGTGGGTGCATGTATATTTTCCCCTTTCCATCCACTTGTACGTATTTGTCTTCCTTTCTCCCCAATCCCCACAGAGATCAGCCCAATCTTTATACGGGAGATGCTCATGAACCAGTCAGGTTATTTGGATTGTAGGAATTTGTTTAATATGGTAAGAAAATAAGTATTTCCTTTAGCAAGAGAAGAAGTTAAAGACTAACAATTATGCTTAAGGGTGTGCATGTTAAGTGGTTAGTTCTTGAACCCTTTCTAAGGTTTCTTTGAAACTTCAGGAAGGGAAGTCATCAATTATGCTACCTTGTGGGCGTCTTTGACCAGAGAGTTCCCCAATGCTCAGAGTATACATTGTCACTTAGTTTTTTTAAGATCTCAAAGGTTTGTTTTTATCCCAGAAAAAAAAAAAAGTTTTGTTGCTGTTTCTGTTATGTCCAGTGATGTTTGTTTCCTTGGCAAAAAAAAGAATAAAAGCCCCCCCAAAAGTAACAAATCTTCCCATCCCCAAACACTCAATTTTGTGGTATTTTCAGCGTGAATTTCTTTGCCTGTTATTCAAATACTCAGCACTTAGATTGCTCTTAGAATTTAAGACTAATAAAGTAAATGCTGTGGTTCAGGAGACTACAGACTAGAAAGCTCTAGAAGCTGGCATTTTTTCAGGCAGATTGAAGTATAATTTTCAGTCTAATAATCAATCCCATTACTAACAGTGTGGGAACCCTTTCCAAGAGGTCTGATTTTTGGTGAGAGAGATAAATCCTGAAGGAAAAAAAAATGACATTTCTCCCCTAAAACTTTCCCAGTATTTGAGAACACTATAAAGACATGACAGGTTGGTGCTTTGTTTTGTTTTTTTTTAGTTTTAGATGGCACATACTAATAATAACATTTATATAGCACTTTGAGGTTTGCAAAGCACTTTACAAATATCTTATTTCATTCTTACAACAACCTTGTGAGTATTAGTATTATCTCCATTTTTGAGGCCAAGGGGAGGTTAAGTTACTTGCCCAGTGTCATACAGCTAGTAAGTGTCTGAGGCTGACTTCAAATTCTGGTCTTCTTGACTTTCAAGTCTCATACTCTATACACTGTCATTTACCTGCCTCCATGGAATGTAAGAAGTTAGATGTGATTCCAAAAAAAAACTGTGAGGTAATTGGAAAGTAATTCCTTGTTAAAGGAATTTAGAGAGACAGTAGGAAAATAGGTAAATCAGAAGTTGCTTCTGGGTAATTTGGAGCTATAGGATGTTAGAGGGGGAAGGGACATTAACATGTCAACTAGTCCAAGCCTTTCAAGTAACTGATGAAGAAAGTTCAGATTTGTAATAAACCTAAAGGGCAAGTGTATTCTACTTAAGGGATGTTGATAATTTCCCTAGGTTGAAGGCAAAGAGCTGAAAGTACGGTTTTTGAAGGTAAAAAGTAGAAACTTTCAGATTCTCTGAGACAATGACAGATAAATTAAAAGTCTTTAAAATTTTTGCTAATTACTTGTTCTACCCTTCTTACTTTGGGCTCTGTAATTACCCCCCCTCTCTTTCGAGGTTTAGAGTTTGATCTCATCTGGAGTTCTAGAAGTAACTTTGATTTGTACTTTTATCAATATTAATGGGGTTTTTTTTAGCCTTTAAGAAATTTGATGACTTTTTATATAATTTCTCTCCTAATATTACTCCCCCAGCATACACATTTAGCCCTCTCTTGCAATAACAACAAAAAAAGTTTAGCAAAGCTAGCTGACAAAGCCATTACATTACATTTCTTAGGATCATAGATTTTGAGCTGAAAGGGACCTTAGAAGACCTTATGAAGTCCAACTTCTCACTTTGTAGATGAAGAAACTGAGCCTGAGAGAGATTAAGTGACTTGCCCAAGGTCCCAAAGCTCATGTCAGAAATAGAATTTGAACTGTCTTCCTGACTCTAATATTGTATCTGTTGTACCACATAGTCGCCTAAAAAAGTGCCCTAGAATCTGACATTTCATGAAGCAGTCTGCACCTGTAGACCTACACTAGTACCTAATATCATTAATGGTTCTTCAGTCTAGAACACAAAGAACCATGTTGTAGTGAAAAGGGTACTGGATCTGGAATCAGTACACCTGTGTTTGAGTCTCAGGTCAGCTATTTACTTTCTCTGTGACCTTAGGAAAGTCACCTAACTTCTCTGAGATTTGGTTTTGTCATATGTGAAATAGGGGTAGTACTAAGCCTTTCCACTGGATTGTAGTGAGGAAAATGTTTTGTCAGCTGTAAAGCAATATAAAATTATTTTATTTAATATTAATAGAATTAATATTACCACTAATAACACTGAAATTTTAATTCAATTTAAAAATGCAATGAAATTTATCTAAGTGCATTCTAGTGTAGAACATTGTACTAGTCACTTTTGGAGATAAAACATGGTCTTTGCCCTCATGGAGCTTACAGTCTAGTAACTGTTAATAGGTCTAATTTCTTTGGGAAATGCTGTCCCACAATTATCCATGGATGATGAGGTAATCTATTTTTGGGTATAATGCTTTGTTAAGTGGAATTTTTACACAGCAATGTAGGAATAGTAAATACCACACTTGGTTAGACTCATAGATGAACTACTCCAATATTCCATTTCCAACAGAAGCTCTGGGGGCACGATTGTTCTCTTTGATGTCATTCTTAAAGATTAGGCATGTCCTGGCTTCTCATACTAACTCTTTTACTTATTAAGTTATCTGAGTCCTTTTTGAAAGTCATTTATGTTTTCAGACTGTTATCTTATGATTTTCATGTTTATTACTCTTTGCAAAGTTGTACTTACCCTTATTGCCCCCCCCAAAACTTAACTTTGTCCAGGTATCTGAGGCTCTTTCCCCTCTCTCAGCCCTCACCTTCCATTGCATAAGTAAGCAATGCCAGATTTGGTGGACAAATTTCTTTTCCTTTCATTCAGGTTGTTTTTTATTTTTAGGCATTTCAATATTGTTGTCCCCATTCAGACTTCTCTTTGCCAACCTGTTCTTGGAGATCAGAATCTAATACTACGTTAAAATTTTGGATATTGAATATATTTTAATAAGGTTAAGAATCTGAAGAACTGGTACTGGGGAAAGTGGCACTGTTAGATCTTCACCTCCTTAAGATTGAGGCAAGTTTTCCTTACCTAAGAAACAGTGAGTTCAGGAAGAACCTCAGTTATTACAATAGAGAGAACAAAAGAATATGGAATAGCCTCAGTTTAGCGGGGAGGGGGAAGGAGGACATGGTGGTCACAATGAAGATCCTTCATGAAATTTAACAAGAAATTGCAATTTTGAGGCACTCATCAAGAATGCGCTTTCATTCTGCAGACTTACCTATGATCATGTAATGACCAATGTTATTAATGTTTTAGGCCACACCTGACCTGTTAAAAGGCCAGCAAGAGCTTGCTCAACAAACAAATGAGGAGACGGCTAAGCAGATCCTTTACAATTACCTCAAAGAAGGGTATGTGACTTCATTTATTTGAATGTCATAAGCCATGTAATTTTTGATGTGTATTGTTAACTTGGTTGTTGTCAGAATGCTTTGGAATATATTTTCATGCCCTTCAGCCATGTAGATGCCATATGATGGATACTGTATAAAAGGAATATCATTAAAAGGCTGAAGTTTTTATAACAGTGTTTAAAATTGCAATAGGAGATACTTCCTCTCTCTAAAATGAATATTTTTTAATTAAAAAAACATGGCAGAACTATTATTTCAAATGCAAATGTACAATTTATAAGCTTGTTTACTAGTCAGCTATTCTGTGTAAAATTGGAATTAGCATCATCACTTTCTGAATCTTTCTTGTCTCAAAAAGTTAAATGTCAGTTACCAGGTTTCAGGCCCCAGTTAGCAACTTTAGCTATGTAATTATAGACAAGAGATTTGTTAGTTCTTTCCTTCTCTCATTCCTTATCAGATTTGCTACAGAGCTATTCTATAAGCTTAAACTAAAGGATCTAGACTTTGAAGGGACCTTAGAGGTCATCTAGTAAAATTCTGTGACTCTGCAAATTAGGAAAATTTATTTTTATCTCCTCAGCACTTAGCAAAGCACAGAGCCTGGTATCTAGTAGGTGCTTAATAAATGCTTGTTGATTGATTGAAGGCCTGAAGCTATAAGCAGCTTGCCTGAGGAATGATCCTATGGGTTGTCATTAGCAGAGTTGGGATTCAAATCCAAACCTTTCGTCTACTGTTGTCTCTCAGTGTCATGTAATTAATTGTTTGTTCTCCAAAACACTCAGTCAGAGTCAATAGAAAGCTCTAAGCGGGAATGAACTTTCCTTTTGGGGAGAATGTATGAACCATTTGAACTAAAGACCAAAATGCCAAGTTTTCACTAAAGATTATTCTTCAACTTTGAGTGCAGCTTCTGCTTAATTAAAACTGGGCACATCTCCCAAATTGAGCTGTAACAGACACAACAAATTAAAAACAAATACCCTGACAGTTCAGACACTTTGAAAGACCATACCTATGTCAGTAAACTTAGCAAAATCTATAGCTTCTTAGAGCATTTTATAAAAGACTGCCTTATGGCCATACTGCACTGGATTATTTTACATTTCATTTTAAGTGTAGTACTAAGTCTCGTAGAGCAAGATCTAGTGAGTAAGAATACTGGACTTGGAGTCAGGAAGAGATGGTTTCAAATTCCATCCATCATTTATAGACTTTGCAACCCAGGGCAAATCACCCAGGCGCTATGTGCCTTAGGCAATTCCCTGTTACTTAGCTACTGCACCACTGAAAAGTTGAGATCAGCCTCATTGAGTATGGAACCCTGGGAATTCCTCACAGGCCCTTACTCTCCTATTCAGTTGTTTTTCAGTTGTGTCCAACTCTTCATCGCCCCATTTGAGGTTTTTTTGGCAAAGATATTGGAGTGGTTTGCCATTTCCTTCTCCACCTCCTTTTACAGATGAGAAACTGAGGCAAACAGGGTTAAGTGACTTGGCCAGGGTCACACAGCTAGTGAGTGTCTGAGGCCATATTTGAACTCATGAACCCTTATTCTCCTAAGGCACAGATTTATCTCCATCTGAAATTAATCGGTGATATCTCTTAAGGTTTATTTATGCTTTCTCTGTTTTTCAGGAGCACTGATAATGATGATGCCACTAAGAGAAAAGTAAACCTGGTCTTTGAGAAGATTCAGACTTTAAAATCCAGAGCAGCTGGAAGCGCACAAGGAAACAATCGAGTAAATTGGGATTTGCTACATCTAATATAGAATATTAGTTGGAGAGATGAAAAAGTATACTTCCCTTTGGGCTACCATTTTATTTATTGATGCAATCAGAATAAGGTGCTTTAGAGATCGTTTGGCCAGTTCAACTACCTGATCTATTAATTTCCTCTCACTGCATACCCAAGGAAAAAACCGTTGCTTGGTTTTTTTCTTGAATATTTGGAGGGAAAAAGAAATCACTACCTCATGACGAAGTCCATTCCATTATTAAACAATTCTGTTAGAAAAGTCTTCATATTGAAATTAAACCTAAATCCCTATAATTTTCAGTCACTGGTTGGAATCTCTGTGTAGCTGTAAGAGTTTAATCCCTCTTCCATCTAAGAGCCCTTCACATATTTTAAGATAATTATTCTAAGTCTTCTCATCTACAAACTCAACAACCCCATTTCCTTGAACAGTTCCTTGTTTGTCATGGTTTTGAAACCCTTTACCACTGACTTTCCCCTAGATGTACCCCAATTTGTCAATAAACCCCAAGGCTGTCAATGTTCCTCTTAATATGTGTTGTCTCAAACTGGATATTCTTGTAGCCTGACTGTATTACACTGACTGCCATATCACACTGTTGGGGTAGATATACAATTGGGGCAAGGTGGAAGGTAGGGCAGCTGAGATAGAAGTGAGTATTAGCAGTCACTTAATAAATGTTTCTTGATTGATTGATTGACTGGAACTTAGAGTTCATGACACCTTTAAAAAGGTTTTTGTGTCTATAGGACATAGTAAACTTACCTCTATTTTTTTACTTGTGTACTTAATGAAAAAGAACCCATTTAGAGGATTTTACATTCATTTTTTAATTCAGCAAACTTTATTCATACTGTGGATAGAAAACTGTGCTAGATGCTGGGGGAGGTAAAAAATTCAGATAAGGTATAGTTCGTGCCCTCATGGAGGTTACAGTCTTCAATATCTTTTATTCCTATTGCATTTCATCTTGTTAAGCCTTTTTTGGAGATCTTTTGGGTCCTGATTTGGTCGTCTGGAATATTTGTATCTTTTCCTGCTTCATGTCATCTCTCTCTCTCTCTTTATATATCTATATATGTATGTATGTATATATGTATCTATTTATCTTCTACCAAGTTACTGATAAACTTATTCCTTAAGAACTCTTGAAACTTCCTAACTAGTGAGTTGTGGTTTAAGATAGAAATCAATGGGGGCAGCTAGGTGGCGCAGTGGATAGAGTACCGGCCCTTGGAGTAGGGAGGACCTGAGTTCAAATCCAGCCTCAGACACTTGACACTTACTAGCTGTGTGACCCTGGGCAAGTCACTTAACCCCATTGCCTAGCAAAAAAACGAATCAAAACAAAAAAGATAGAAATCAATGGTGATAACATTGCAAAGCTTAATGAATACAGAAAAAAGCCCATGAATCGGCATATACTTAGTCCTGGGAACTCTTGGAGATCCTTGAGTTCATGTCAGATTTTTAGACTCAAGAGACAAAAGTAGGTCACATTCTGTTTTTGAGTCAGCCTGAAACAGTAGAATGAGCTTTGGTGCTGGAGTCAGAAGACCCAGGTTCAAATTCCACTGCATCATGCTTATTATCTCCAAGTGAACTTAGTTAAGTCACCCTTCCCTCCCTCATCTTCAGCTTGCTTATGAAATGAAGGAGTTGGATCAGGTGACTTCTGAACTAGCTTCATAACTCCAAGCCCACGTACTCCAAGGAACTACTCAAAAATTTTCATTTTTCTGGAATTTAAGGTTTGCAAGTGATCTGAAATAAGAGAATATAATCTGTGCTCTTTGGCCCTATGGAAGTGGGACAAAAGAGAAGAGAGCATTTAAGAGATTGCAGCTGAGGAGAACCCATGATGAAACTCAGCCTGGACAGCTCTCAAGCAGGACTCCCTGTTTTTTTCACTGCCGCTTCACATTTTTACCATTTTACCAGCCCCAGACACTTGATACTTACTAGCTGTGTGACCCTGGGCAAGTCACTTGCCCTTCGGGGTATTCTCCTTGGGAAAGTAGTCTTTCCTTTGGATTTTTCTTGTGGTACATTCAAAACCCGCCCTCTCAGCCTCTCTTAGCTACACACAGAATTTTTCTGGTCTAGATTCTCTTTCCTGACTCAGAGTTCCCCATCCAAATAGCTGAGAGAGAATGCTTTGCTCCCCCATTTATTCAAGATGCTTTCTAAACTTAGTTCCCTTTAAAAACCTAAAGATCTGTAACAGTATTGCCCTCCTACCAACAAATTCATCTCACTTGGAGCTCATGTATAAATTTCCAGGTTTTATTTCTTTCCCCAGTGTTAGCACAAACATGAACATATCTAAAATCCAAATACATTTGGATTTCTCAGGCTTCAACCAGACTGTTAGTCTCAATAATCATGTGATTTGGAGAGGGGTGTGTGTCAAGTTTTGTTTGTTTGTTTGTTTACACTGGCATGGGATACCAGAGCTGAAAAAAGCTGTAGGGCCTTTGTCCTTGGGTCACTGAATAAATGTGGAGATAATGCTGAAAGAGGGTTGGAATGACGGGTAGTCTGTGTTTTGGCCATCACTGCTGGGAAGAAGAAATTGACTGTGGAAAGGATGAATTGGCATTTGTCCTCAGAGGTGGGGATAGCTCATTTCGCTCTCGTCCTGGTCTTGGCACCTTCCCCCCATTGCCTCTGTATTTGCATTCCCTCTTGGTGAGGGGGAGGACTAATGAAGTTGTGCATCTGGGGAGACCAGACTTTCTTTTTGCAAACTGTTGTTACGGCGATTAATGGAAGTAACAGAAGGGTGTGCGGTATTTAGAAGTCATCACTTAGGTGGAAGGTGGTGGGGTGTGTCAGAATTCAAGCAGGCCCGGACAAAAGAAAAGAACCTGCAGGCGGGTAAACAATGTAATCTGTTCTGAGGGTTCTTGCCTCGTGGAGCAACCCCAAGTCAAATGAAATCAGCTCTACCTGCCCGTGCCAATTTGATCAGGTTGAGGGAGGCTAAGCGGAGCTCTTTCTGCTTCTCTTTGGTAGAAAGACACTGGGATGAAGAGTTTGATAGGAGAAAGCACCAAATTAAATTTTACCGATGTCAAGACCTGCTCACCTTATGCCAGGGTTATTGCCGTCATATCCTAAAGATTTTTCTACACCAGTTGCTTCGCTCTGCATTCCAGTCTGCCAGATCGTAGGTTTATAAATCTAGATCTGAGAGAGGCCTCAGAGGCTGTTGAATCCAACCTCTTCTTTTACAGATGAGGAAGCTGAGGAAGGGTGAATATGACTTACACAAGTAGTGAGTGTCAGAGGCAAAATTTGAACCGGGACCGGGAAGTAGCTAGAGAGCTGAGCCTGGAGTCAGGAAGACTCATCTTCCAGAGTTCAGATGTGACCTCAGACACTTACTAGCTGTGTGACTCTGGGTAAGTCACTTAACCCTGTTTGCCTCTGTTTTCCTTATTTCGAAAATGCATCGGAGAAGGAGATGGCAAACCACTCCAGTATCTTTGCCAAGAAAATTCCAAATGGTATCACTAAGAGTTGAACATGACTGAAAACAACTGAACAGCAATAATAACTTCTGACTTCAGAGCTGGTGCTCTTATCTACAGCACCGCTCTGCCTCATTCTAAAATATTGCTTTCATCAAATCATTTCCTCCCCACAAAATATTCCTCCTCTTGTCTTTAGGATTAAATCCGAATAGTTCTTTAAGTCCGTCAAGAGCAGTTATAATCAGCCCCTCCTTATCTATTCATTCTTCTTCAGCAACATGCCTGGTCTCTAGCCTGACTGGACTCATCCAGGAGATGAGAGAAGTCTTTTAGCTTTCCTCTTTCAGTCTTCCTCCCTCAAGTGAATGAGATCAGCCTCTGAGTCTTTGCTTATGCTTTTTCATAGTACCATCTTCCCAATACATAAGAAGCCCATCCCCATGTCTTTTGTACTTGTCAACGTCCAACCTATACTTCAAGGCCCAACTTAGAGTCGACATATATCATGAATCTTTTTCTTAGTCTGCATTAGCCTACACTGATTTCTTCCTTCTCTTAACTCTCGTAGCACTCACACACAACTGTTTTTTGGAATTTAACTGTCACATAACAGCTCTTAGTTCTAATGTGTTTGTCCTGTCTCTCCAGTGGGATTGTGAGTTTCCTGAGGGCAAGGATTGTGCTTTAGGTTTCTTTTGTATTTCCAAAAGTGTTCACTGTGCTATGTACTTAGCACATACCATAAGATTATTTGTATTGAAATCAGGAGTGATAATTAAGAACCAAGCTTGAGGGAGAGAAAGAAGGGAGATGGGGAAAATTCTGCACAGAAGGAAGAGGGGGTGCCGCTTTATCTCCTACATAGTATGCATTCATTGAAGGAAAGGAGAAGCTATCTAGAGACTCTGTGATACAGTGGATAGAGAGCTGTATGTGATCGGACTTGGGACAACCTGAGTTCAAGTTCCACCAGGCACAGAAACTGCCTTGGTTACATTAGGAAGGCCACTTAAAGTCTTAGTGACCGAGGCAACTCTTTTGGATTATAAATTGAATGGCAGTTGAGGTCAGAGGAAGTTCCCTACACCAATTCCTGGTTTCCAAACCCGGAAAGACACAGTTGAAAGTCTGTCTGGAGCCTGTGTTTCTGGATCCTAGGCATTGAAGGGAATTAGAAATATACTCCCAATTAAATATAAGTTCCTTGAGGGCAGGAGCTGTTTCTTATTTATTTTATCTTCATATTCTCTTGCACTAAATGCTTAACAAATGATTATATCAATAGAATTGGTGGCCATTTAGCCTGTGCTCCCCATCCCCAGCCTTCAGACTACTCTGAACCTGGGACCATTTTTCCTCCCGTGAGAGGGACTGAGATTACCTTACAAAACAGCAAATATTCAGAAATAGAGCAATGTTTCCCTGCTTGAAATTGATTAGTGAGGGAAACATAAGCCAGTTTTCTTCCTTAGTTTGGGTTATTAAAATAAGTGGTTCAGATTCTTCTGGGATTATGAAGAATTCTGTTTTGGTATCAATTTTTACATTCCCAGACCTAGCCCATGAAGTACCTCATTCCAAGTGAAACACACACAACCCACTAATGTACTCAGATTCAGAAAACTGAGAAAACTTTGACCTAACTATCTGCCCTTTGGGCTTGCAGTTACTACTTTGTTCTCTGCCTCCATGGTTCCTCTTGGGTCCCTAACACCACTACCATCCCCCAGTACATATGAGTAGCACACTAACCACCTTGAGGTTATGCCCAATTACTTTTGAGTGATATCCATAATACTCTTTTTAGAGATTAAAAAATATGGAGAGAGCTGTGTTGTAATTCAGAGTTGAACTGGCCAATGATGACATTTTCTATGAGTCTTATCTTCAATAATGTTTTTCTAGCATCTGGGTGATCTGGGTTACGTAGCTTTATGGAGGGAAATAATCCTCAGAGAAAAGAGTTCACTTTACAAGATGGGTTTGTGCTGTGTTCTCCTAGAGCAGTGGATGAGCTACTTTATGTTGGGGTTAGGTCACAAGGTGGGCAGAGGCAGGGGTCAGGATAGAAGATAAAAAAGTATTCTGGACATGAAATTGACATCTCTCTACATATTTATAGGTTTCCGATTCTTCAGCTGAAGTCAGAGAACTGCTGGAGCAGAGAAACAAACTGAACAGGGAGGTTTCAGAACTTCAGAAACAGCTCAATCTAGAAATTAGGGTATGGTTTTTTAAAAAATGTTCGTCTTGAAGATGTATGATGTGTGCTGAAATGTATTACTTAACCTTTTAATTTAGAAGCTGTGTTGGATGTGGAATTAGGAAGACCTGGATTTGTATCTTCCCTGAGACAACTTAGTAGCTATGTAAACACAGGCAAATAACATAACGTCTCTGAAGTTTCCTCAACTAAAATGGGGGTAATGAGACCTAAGAGGCAATGTGGTGTAGTGAATAGAGTTATAAGTCCTGCCTCCAACATACTAGCTGTGTGATCATGGGCAAGGCAATGGGCATGGGCATGCATGGGCAATCTCTTATTTCCCCCACCCCACCCCAAAAAATACCCAAGACTGTCAGTTGAGGATAAATTTCCAGGATTCATTTATGGTAGTTTCTACCCTAGGCGTGCCCCTACACAGATAACATCACAGTTTTCCCCAACCTCTCCAACATTATTGGTTTCAAAGGTCATAGCTATGTTGCTTGGCATGAAATCATAGTTACTGCATTGCTTTGCACAGTCAATTAACCCAAATCAACATCAACAAAGGAGTTTTCAGAATGTTGATTATACCAGGGTTTACGATGTCATATTTTCTCCTCTGCATCTGTCTTGGACAAAGAATAAGCCTTCTGAGATGCCAAGATGAAGGAAAGGTTGAATTGGTCCAAAAAAAAAAAAGTGTACTAACTTGGCCCTAACAACAGTTTCTGAGGCTTTGACTTTCACGTATGTACAAGTGGCATTTACCATTTGATTTGGAAGTTTGGAAGCAAATGAAAGATTCAAAGCTGGAATTATACAGAAGAGACACAATAAGCTGATAGTACAAAAAGCATTTCAGTTTAGTAATGGAAGACAGAAGATTGTGTGGTAGCCAGAGAATCATCCCTGGAATCAGGAATACCTGCGATCAAATCCCATTTTGACTTATTCTGGTTGTGAGACCTTGAACAAGTCATTTAACTTCTCAGTGTCCCGGTAATTTCTAAGATTATAAGTCACAGAGCTGGTACCAGTCTGCATTCATAGAGTGAGTTTCCTTTCTTGGAATTCTACAGACCATTGAAATGTCAGGGGTCTTCCAAAAATTAAAAGTAAAAAATTAAATAACAAGAGAGTGAAATAATTTTTTTTTGTTTCTTTCCCCAAACTCTCAAGTGTAATAAGAATGGGTTGCCCATTTTGCTTTGCTTATTAACTATTTATTAGTAGTATTTAAAGAGGTGGCATGGCTTAGTGGATAGAAAACCAACCTTGGAACCAGGAAGATCTAGGTTCAAATCTAGCCTTAGATAATACTGTGTGACCCTGGTCAGGTCACTTAACTTCTCAGGACTCTAGGTAATTTTCTAAGACTATAAGTTGTGGAGAAGATGCCACCCAACATCAGCAGGAATTTCCTCACCCATGAAGTTCCCTACACAACGAATTCATAGTTTCAGTTCCTTTTCCCTATTAATTCTTTTGTATTCCTTTACAGGCATCTACCTCAATTATGTAGTAAATTCAGTTGTATAGTTGGGAAGGAAATATGTAGGGAAAGGTAGTCTTTGAAGCAGGCTTTTTGTTAGATGGTGCTAATGTACAAGGAGTTGCGTGCCTGCTCATACTTCAGAAATTAATATTTATTTCACATCAGAATCAACAAAACATCAAAGAAGAGCGAGACCGAATGAAAGCCAACCTCGAAGAGCTTAGAAGCCAACATGAGGAGAAGGAGAAGGTGACGTCGACGCTGCAGAAACGTTTGGATGACAGTGAAATGGAGCTCCGGAAAAATCTAGAGGAGTAAGCTCTCCAACCTGCTATCCTACTTGAGTTTTTCTGGAGATGTATAGGTGAAGCTGTAGCTAAGCCTGTATCTAAGGGTTTTTGTTTTTGTTTTTGTTTTTGTTTTTGTTTTTACTCTCCTTGTGCAATGATGAGTCTAGAAATGAGCGGCTGTATAAATGAGAGCATCTAATTGTTCTCACACTTTGAAACAGATTTTATTTATCTGGTTAAGGTTCAGACCACATAAATTTAATATCCAAGTGCATACCAGCTAGCTCTGAGATATATCTAAAGGCTCATGTTACAGAGCCTAAGACCAAGCATGTGAAGAGTGCTTGGCTAATGGAAGACTAAAAGATGTTGACTTTTGTGTTTGTTTTAAATGTGTATTGTTTTGGATCTTATGAGCAAAGTAACTTATATTCCAACTCCTAAAGCCTAAAAAGGACAATCTTTTCTAAGATGGGCATGTCTAATGCCCTTCTATAACTATATCCATAACAATAACTAGTTTTTACTCTTTGTGATGAGAGCTTAAAAAAAAGTACCATGTTATTTATCAATTCAACCATCATTTTATTATTGTAACAATATATTAATATCTGGTATTTTTAGAATGTTTTCAAATGAAAAATTTTGTAGAAGGAAGTGGTATATTTTGAAAGGCTATTGAGAATCCTAGGGAATATAATCATTATCATTAATAAAAGTTTTTTCAGTGCCAGTGAAGTATGTGACATGGCCTTTTAGTCAGAATTATTCAATATGTATACCAGGAGGGAGCATGGAGTATGGTAGGAAGGGCCAGAAGACCTTGGTTTTTATCCTAGCTCTTTTATTACTTGTGTGACTATGGGATATGTCATTTAATCTCTCAGCCTCTGTTTCCTTATCTGTTAAATAAGGAAGTTGGGCTAGAGAATCTGCGAAATCCCTTCCTGACCTAAATACTTTGATCCTATAATTTTAGTCGATGTAGTCTCTGTGCCTTCACAAAGTTTACATAGGCTTGGTTAGAAAAGGGATTTCCAGGAAAAGATGAAACAGATGCCTACTGGGGGTCTTGAAGATATCAACAATGAGAAGAAGGGGGAAAAGGAAGGGAACTGTGGAATGTAGTCATGTACCCAGGAGGGAGGGTCCCATTAGAAAAATGGGCATTACTATAAAGGTAATTCATTCTCTTCTATCACTTTCTCATCCCCATCCCTTGAATTAAAGTCAGAATTCAGGTTACTTCTTCTTTGAGGAAAAAAAAAACGTCAAGACCTATCCTTTGCTTGGCTGTTTCTTTCTTGATAGAATAGACTATGGCTCCTATTCCCTAGAATTCAATTGGTCAAAGTTTGATGACTTTCCAAGAAACTCAAAGTGTTCTTACTTAGTGCAGCAAAGGAGAACACAGGGTTGCTTACGGTCTTTAAGAGTATTTTATGTCATATGATTAAGGCTGTGAAAATAAACAAAAGCACTTTGGTGAAACCCCCTGACAGTGTTTTCCTTTCCCTGATAAAGGTTGTTTCAGGTGAAGATGGAACGGGAGCAGCACCAGACAGAGATCAGAGATCTCCAGGACCAGCTCTCAGAAATGCACGATGAGTTGGATAATGCAAAACACTCAGATGATGGGGAGAAGGGAGCCCTAATTGAGGTGAGAAGTACAGTTACATCAAGGACTTTATACCAAAGAAATCCCCTCTTGCGGCCTGCGTAAGAACGGTCTTCAGGTAGCAGAACTGTGCCTTACCTGGCATTCCATATTCTGAGTGAGAATAGGTTATTAATAAATATTTTTCTTGAAAATCCAGAACTCTGAAGCTAGGTCAATACCTGAGTTTAATAAGCACTCTAACTTCCTAGGTTGGTTTATTCCTTCCTACTTCTTCCTAATTATTTAGCATTTATATTCATCAGTTAATTGGTAAATATGTTCTGAGCACTTACTATTTACCAGTGCTATTAGATGTTGTGAGTGATGGGAGATAGCATTAGGGACTAGACTTGATTTCAGGTATAAGAGGTAAAGAAACTACTGCTGACAGTCAGCATTATCTTTGCGACTTTAAGTCTGAGAGAATTGCCTAGGACAGACTTGTCAAACTTAATGACATGCAGCCCAAAAAGTGAGGCATGAACCAGATTAAAATATAAAACAAAATAAATAAAATACAGTGCAACATAGATGTTAATTTGTGGTTTTCTAAGTCAGTGTGCAGCCTGCAAGGATCTGTTTGTATTTGAGTTTGACACCACTGGCCCAGAGCATTAAGAATTTAATGCCAATATGCTTCAGAGTTGGGACATGAATCCAAGGTTTCTTGGCTTTGAGACTAGGTTTCTATTCACTGTACCATACCTGGCCTGTGGGATATGGATAATCAATACAATACTTCCATACTTTAGAGAGTAGACATTTTGTTTGTGTGAGTACTGTTTCCATTAACACAGATCTTGGCCCTTCTAAAACTTAGACGGTCCTTGAGCATTTCTGTGGCTGAAAAATTCAATCTCATACAGAGAACATGGTGATTAGTCTCTCTGAGGTAGCTAGACTAGGCTTTGGATCATATAAAGTCCATTACCAGGCCTTTACTTGAAGTCTTTCTGGGTTTTATTCTTACTGTGTAGGTTTGAGCATCTGCACCACAGAAACGGTTTGTTTGTTCTTAGATAATATGCCTCCAATTAGGAGAGTCTTTGAGGGTTATAGTACCTTCATGATCTGAATATGGCTTATTTTAGACATGGGGAAGTGGGAGGGGTGGGAAGAGACAGACTGATTTTCCCATAGAGTTAAGTTTAAAACAGCTGAAGATGAATAGAAACTATTATGGCAACATTCCACTTATTTGGAGGCTAGACTTCTGGTAACTTTGGCTGTCTGTTAATGGAGCTGAGACCTCTATTTGACATTTAAAATCCTTCTCAACCTGGCCCCTACCTACCTTTTCACTCTTCTTAAGCTTGAGTCATCTCCTCTGGCCTACTTGTGGTTCCTTGAGTACGACTTTATCTGTTGTATCTGTGACTTTGCACTGGCTATCCCCCATGGTTAGAATGTTTTTCCCCCCTCACCTCCACTTCCCCCTCCCTACTCCCCTGCTCCCCACCCCCAGCTTTCTTCAAGGCTTGCCTCGAATCTCATATTCTGTAGGTATTTCTCACTTCCTCATGTTGCTAATGCCTTCCACCTAAGGCTGCTTCCATATACTTTGGCTATCTCTTAAGTACACAGTTATTTGTGTATTTTCTTCCCCATTATAATGTGAGCTCCTTGAGGGCAAGGTTCATGCCTTTCTATATTTCTCATTGGCACTTAGTAACTTGCCTGGTCTATACTAAGTGCTTAATAAATGTTTCTTGACTGCTTGACTTAATTTTCTTTCTCCCGTCCAGGTCTTCAGTGGTAGTATGTTGTATCCTACTAATGCTCTCCATTAACTTTTCCATTGCCCTTTGGGTGACCTATAATTTTAATTCTTTGAAGTGTGATAATAATGGATTCTGAGCCATACAGCATCATTGGAAGGTGATATTTTTTGAATATTGAAGTTGGAAGGATGGATTTTTGTTTCAAGGAGAAGCTGAGGCCATTAAAAGCACAACAGAATATCCCCAAATCAATTTAGCCTTAACCAGTTCCTACTTTTCAGCTTTGGGGCCAGTTCATTGTCCATCTAATGTCTTTCCAAGACTGTGTACTGACTGACCTTCTGTATGAGTTGTCCATCTTAGTTGTATATTCTTATGTATACAATGGATATTCTTCATCCACTTGGGTTTTCTTGTGTGGAATAGGCTGAATTCTTTGAACGATTATGGATCTCTTTTAAAAGATTTTGGGACATCCAGTGCCACTCACAAATGGGAGATTCTTGATGATGTCACTATCTAAAGAAAATCTCCCTTCTATTTGAACTCTGCAGTGAACATCCTCCATGACAATGCAAATACCTTTGACAAACATATGAATCCCCATTTTGACTGCACTTGATTTTACTAATCAAGAGTTTTGTTTGACAAAGTTGTTCTTCATTAAATCTTTCAAAGAAGCTCCTGATTTTTGCATATATATCGGAGACAACTAGTTAACATTTTGTTCTAATAAATCAAATGCCTTTTTATAGTCAACAAATAAGAACAGTTGAATCTTTGATTATTTGCATCTTTCAGTTACTTACGTTATTTTAAAATCAATTATCTGTCTCCAGTTGGACTATCTAATTGTTAGGGCAGAGATCACGATCATTACCCCATCAGAACAAAGAATCAAAATGAAAAGAAGACATTGTAAACAAATGAGGTAGCTCCAATCTGACCTTTTAAAAAAGGTGTTGATGGATAAAATAGGAAATGGATAAACTCTCATTATTCCCTAAGGAAGTTTAAACATGGTGGATCAATTACAACACTAAGGAAACCAGAGGAACCTAGAAATCATTTTAGCCAGGGAGCACTTAGATTTCTTTGCCACGCAGTGAGATATGATATCTAAGGGCAAGATTAGTTTCTAATATAAACTACTTTTAAAATCTTTTGTGTGATGATAGTAGAAGATTATGGACAACAGTATTGTCGCAAAAAAGACAGGAAAAAACCCCATAGCACAGAACTGTGGAGTGCAAAGTAAATTTGTAGAAAACTCAGTGAGAGACTCAACCAAGCCAAAATACAAAGGCAGTTAGGCCAAATGTGGAAGGAAGGCAATGAACAAACTCAATTCCCGAAAATGAAAAGTATCTAAAGATTTTTAAAATAACACTTTTTGGGGGGTGGGGCAATGGGGGTTAAGTGACTTGCTCAGGGTCACACAGCTAGTAAGTGTTATGTGTCTGAGGCCGGATTTGAACTCAGGTCATCCTGAATCCAGGGCTGGTGCTGTATCCACTGCTCCACCTAGCTGCCCCCAATAAACACTTTTCTACATCAGTAACAGTGTGGCTACCAAATATAGACTCCAGTATTGTATACTTCGTGGTATACTGAATGTAGAAGTAGTGATGGCAGTAAAGAAAATTAGGACGGGAAGAGAAGATGGTTTAGAACCATGATACACAGAAGAGATCCATGCTAGAGTGGACAGAATTTTGAGGATGTTGTAGGATTAGTCAGGATTAGTCCTTAAGGTACCTGAAGGGGAGAGGAAACAAAAACTATTTACCTGAATAAATAAAATAAAATAAAATAAAATAAACCCGACCTTATTATTACTAAAAAAGGAATGAAGAAAATAACAATAACTGGGTTCATTCCCTTCCATTCCAAGTTATATAAAATCTCTGAGAGGATAATCTACACATGTTTTGAGGGCATCCTTGAAGAATGTGTGGAAAAAGGAACAACCAACCTTTCTCAGAATCTATTCTCCATTACATCAGGTCTTTATAGTCACATAAATAAATAAAAGGACATAGAGAACAGAAGACCCCCATAAGTATTGCATTTTCAAATAAATGAGGCATAATTTCGGAATGAGGGAAATAGAAAAAAAGGCAATTAATTTAGGTACAATCCTAATTGTAACAATCTTAACTTGTCCTTTTTTTTATAGTTTAAAAGAAAAACCTGTAACTCCTTTCTTTTTTTAAACCTACTTTCCATCAGCAGCTGCTCAGAATTTGAAGTTAAATTTCTGAAAATTACTTCATAGGACCAGTTATCTTGTGGTCTCAGCATCCTTCTTGTCTGGAATCTGTATCCTAATGGATTTTAGCTTGCTTCTCTTTAAGATGCCAAGCTGTTTTCTTCTATGATCACTTAGGAAAGGAAGGAGAAGTTTAGGAGAGCTTGTTCCTGGCCCTATCTGACTTGGACGTTCTTCTAGCTGTGTGTTCTGAGGTGAATCAGTTAGTCTTTCTGGGCTTCACTTTCTGTGTCGTTAAGGTAAAGAAGTTGTCTTAGATGCCCTCTAAGATCTCTTCCATTTATAAGATTTTGTATATATTTATATACTTTTCTGTGTCTCTATGGAGGCACAGATCCCGAACTCTTATCTGGTATTTCCTTTTATTTACAGTGAATGATCTATAACAATAATCTGTCACACTCATAAGATTAGATTTGAAAATATTTCTCATTCATCTGCTTTCTTTTCAATTCTAGTTACAAAGCTAAGGGACAGGGATTGGACCTCTGATTTTTATAGTATGGGGATCTCCCAAGTAAAGAACTGCCTTCTACCAAGGCTGACCAGCACCTTCTGAACAACTTGTAGTCTTAGCTTCCTAGGAGACTGAGAGGTTGATTGAATTGCCCAAGGTCACACAGCTAGAATATGTCAGACATAGCTGTAGGACCCCAGATCTTCTTGGCTTCCAGGACACTTCCCTATCTGTTATGCTATACTGCCTCTTAAAAACAACAACCCATTCAGGTAGGTGCTAGTACTATCTTCATTTTACAGATAAGGGAATGTAGGCTGAGTTAAGTTAAATGACTTTCACAGGATCACACAGATAGTTAGCATCTGAGGTAAGTAAAAGTGAGAAATTTAAGCTGTCCTTTAATAAAGCTTTTTAAACATACATAAAAACCTAATGAAGTTTTAAAGAAGGCATAAAATGTGATCTTTCCCCCCTTGTAATTTATATATATATGTGTGTGTGTGTGTGTGTGTGTATATGCACACATACATACATACATGCATATACATATATATCCACATATATATACATATTGTACATTTATGGATATGTGTTTACATCTATGTCATCTCATCTCTGTGTGTATATGTATGTTTATGTATGTATGTGTATATGTATAAGTATATAAAAATATAAAGCCACATTTATTTCTATGTATTTTTCCTGTCTTTCCAATAATTTTAAAAATATTCAGGAGCAAGGACCTTGTTTTCCCATAGGTTTGGTCAAATTGTTTTGTAGTAAGGGGATACTCATCAAGTGTTGCTGACTGAAGAATAGGTGAGAGCTGACACGTTTTGATCGTTTCAGATGATCTAGATTGAATTTGCAACTTTAATTAGTTGACCCATTTCATAGCTGCTCAGAACTTCCAGTCTTAGCCCTAAATTCATGGTTTTCAATGGACCTTCCAATAGATCTATTTATCAATTCTTCCAACTCTGGACATGAGGCAGAGCATAGTAAAATTTAGGCTGTACAGGACTTTGGGGTGGTGAGCTGATATATGCTAATAGTTAGCCTTTATGTGTAGGAAATTTTTTATTTTTAACTTGGATTTCATGAAAGTCACTCTAAAATCTATTATACATTTTCCTTGACTTCTTATATAGAATATAATAAATTTAGTATCTTCTGAATGACTCAGGGTCATCAATTTGCACATTACTGAGAGAGTCCTATGATAATGGGTATGAGACAGAAGACCAAAAGGGCTAATTTCAGCTGCAGCTCTGAAACTTGCTTTTTTGAAAAAAAATCCCTTTATCAGCTTGCTCATTGGGTCATTTATCCATTTCCAGTAAAGACGGACTTAAGGAGGTGATTCCTGGAAAGTGTAAAATGGCTTACATTTCTGGAAAAGATTGAAGCACTTTTCATCCAAGTAGGGTTTTTTTCATCATCCAGGGGAAAAAAAATAATTTTTTTCTATTGCTTTTGTCAGTGTCTTTTTACTTTTCAGCACCTTTAAAAATATTGTGCCTGATTTATGTTTTGCCAGTGATTTGTCACTGCAGTTTTAAAGGCTGTCCTTTATCACCTCTGATACTTGGCCTAGAAGAAGTATCGCATCTAATTAGCACTTGGTGTTGATTTTGTCCATTTTAACTTAGGTTCATCGTAGTTTTGTTTACTTGTTTTTGGGTGCTGGGAAGATACTTCTTCACCCACAAGAAAGAAGAAAGATCTTGTGATCTTTAAGTAAGAGGACACCCTGGAGGTTCCATTTATATTCCATTCATTTTGTGCCTTGGTGTAACTGGCAATAAAGACATGTTTCTGAAGCTGATGTTTTGAAAATCCTTTGTGTTTCATTTTCCCTATTTTGATAAGCTTCAGTGATGAGTATTGATGCTATAATCTGGTTGGACTATTGTCATACAGTCCCTTTCAACAATAATACCTGCCTTAGATAATAATGTTTTGACATAGACCAGGCTATGAGTTGGCAGCCTTAACAAAGGCCAAGGCAGAACAAACCACACACACATCCTGAGAAACATAAGTGGGGAAAGAGAGATATTTTGAAAAAACAAAGCAATTGGGAAACGTGATTACAGGAAATGGGTCAGAAGCAGGAAAATTGCTCTGAAGATCTAAGCAAGGGGCATCAGGAATCCCTTCCCTCCAGGGAATCCAGAGAAAGATTTGGCAACCAGCAGGTAGCCATGAGAGTAATGGTAATTTAGAAAGGAAGATTCAGAGATAACCACAATGTAGTCTCCAAGGAGGGACCCACATCAGCTCATCTGACTAAAGGCAACAGCATTCAGGAAGAAAGGTTGTTTTCTAAGATCCCTTGAAAGAGCTAATGTCATGGTTGCTGAGAAACATGGATTAGAATTTTTCATCAACTTATCAACACTGGCCAATTAGCTGACTTTAATATATTCTCAAAGGTGCAGTGCAGTGAGGCAGTTACAGTGTACTTTGTGTGTATCACAGGATTTTAGAGGTGAGAAGGGACCTTAGAAATAATTTAGTGCAATACTTTTTAGTTTACAAATGAGGATATGGAAGCCAAGAGGTTAAGTGACTTGTTCACAGTCACACATATAGAAAGTTGCAGTTAAGAATTCTTTCAAATCTTATAGCCTTGCCTCTGAGCACCACTGGGCATAATAAGCTCAGTGGAAAAAATGTCCCAGAGACTATGAGGAATATTTTAGAGTAATTTACTTCTGATGTGATAAGAACAGGCTCTTCATTAGTAACATAAATCAAAAAAGTGTGAATATTCTAAGCCAGTGATTTTTCTTCTTATAATTTCCTATTGTTTTAGAATCACTACATAACCTTCTTCAGCACAGGATTCTGAATTATCCACTAGCCCATCATCCTGTATTTTCAATTTGAATTCACTTTATGAGCAACTTGGGTCACCAATATTATAATTTTTCTGTACTTCAAGAAGTTTCCGGTTTTGCCTTCCTCCTACCCTTTCCTCTTTTTTTCTCCTAGGAACTACTACAAACAAAGCGGGATCTACAAGATGTTTTGATAGCCAAAGAGGAGCTAGAAGATCTGCTAAGAAAGCGAGAGCGAGAACTTACTGCCTTGAAGGGAGCGTTAAAAGAAGAAGTATCAAGTCATGACCAGGAGATGGATAAACTCAAGGAGCAGTATGATGCAGAACTCCTGGCCCTGAGAGAGAGTGTAGAAGAAGCCACCAAGGTGAGTGAACCAAATATAGGCCTTCTGTCACATTGCGGTGGATCTCAAAACAGGCCGCTTAGCATTTTGGTACTGAAAAAAAGGATGGAAAAACAGAAAAACAGATTACTTTATCTTCGTCTGTCAGTGTGAAAAATGTTTTCATTTTCTTTCTAGGCATTGAAGTTAAGCACGATTATGAGCAAAGGATAAACATTTTCTAGTTATTAATTTAGAAAGTCATGGGAGCTTGGGAATAAAAGACTCATGTGCCCATAGTGATCCTGAAAAGTCCTTTAAATTATTCCGGATTTACTAAAACATTCATTTTTCATTTACTCAGAGCATTCTTTCTTGGTTTGGAGTAAAGCATTTTTCTTGTTGTTTTTAAGTAGCTAGAGGAAAAGGGAGTATGAGGCATTTTATTGAGGGAGAAGAATTGAAGACTGGAACTAGAAATCTCTGACTCCTGCCCTGTAGTATTTCCATCCTGACTTAGTGCCCCCCCCCCTTTTTTTGTAGACCTCATTCTTTTTGTCATCAATTTCCAGGGCAGTTAATTGCCTTGATTAATACACCTTGTACCCTTCACAGATCAGCATTTTAAAGTCTTGAATCTTGGCTTTTCAAAACAGATTCTGACAGGTGTGTTAGTGTTTTTCATGTTGTCTGTTGAAAGGAGAAATGAAAAGATAGGTGTTTTGAAATTTTATGAATTTCAAATATACTTGAATAGAGTATGATGGGTTTGTAGAAAATCTATTTCCTTATTTAAATAAGCCTAGTAATAATGATGTGCTCTGCACTTTATCAGAATATGGTTCCTAAATTAAAGATAGAGAGGATATAGAACACTGAGCATCATAGAATTTTGGAGCCAGAAAGGACTCTTCTGTTAGATCTTCTAGTCCATCCGTTTCATTTTATAGGCAAGGAAACTGATTTCCAGAAAGGTAACAATTACAGCTTTCCAATGAACTAACTTTCCCCTGTAGAGTGAATAAAATAATATATTTCACTGGCTCAATCTTGTATTCATTAGTTCTGAAGTTTGAATCCAAATATTTGAATTAAGATGCTATCCATTTGGGTGGTCCTAGGTTAAGTAGTTAATGGCAGAACCATGACCAGAAACCCAGGCCATTGTTTTCTCTGCCACATCATTGTTCCTCTGGAACATCACACTGTTTCTTCTCAATTTGTGATGTAGTCAAAAGGGTGCTAGATTTGAAGATCTGAGCTGTAGTACGTAATCCCTGTGTAAATAAAGGCTTTGCTTTGTGGGGCCTCAGTCTCTTCATTGCAAAAGGAATTGGTTTGACTAGATGACCTTGATGACCTTGATGGTCCTTTCCAGCCTCACATTTCTTAAATTCTCTACAGTCTGACAGAGGGTTATCATGTATATTTCTTTAAAGTCTTCTTTCAATGCCTCCTCTAGGCAGGGAGATGGGTTTTCTGAAGGCTGTCCTAAGGAAACACAACCTCTGGTCTGGGCAACCTGGAAGGCTTAGAGTGTGAGCTGGTGAAAAGATTATGAGACTGCTGTCTGAGGACCAGATATCTCAGCTAGATGTGGAAAGGCTCATCACTAAAAGGGTAGCCACCAAATGATAAGGTTTTTTTTTATCATGGCAACTCATTAAACAGCCACTAAAGTGTGAAGGTGTTGTGACCTGTGTGGTGCTTAAAGAAGTATATTCATATTTCTTTGTCTTTATCTTTAATACATTTATACCTTCAGTATAATCTTTCATATCATACCAGATATTCATAGCCCACCTGTGACAGTTCACTTTTTACTGAAGAGACAAAATTACCTTGAATTTGCATAATCTTTTTTCAGCACCAAAGTAACCACTCATAATCCAAGGAAACCCAAGGAAAACTTCACATTCCTCAGGGCATAAGTATTATTTACAATAATAGCTGACCTTTCTGGCTGATTGCCCCACCCAGCATTCAAGAACACCCTCCCACTACAAAACCATGCTAAGAAAAGGCCATTGGTTCCTACTTCCTCTCAGAGGATCCCTGCTGAAGAGCGCATTGTGAAGGCTGTGGGCACGTATTTCCTTGTGTTCAGGAATTAACTCCACATCCTCTTCTTCATGTTGGTCTGTGCTGTTGGCATGTCCATAGTCAACTGGTATTGTTACTTCCTTTCACTGAACTGGAACACTGTAACTTTGTTCCCCAACACTGCACAATGATTTTATTGAGAACCTGCAGATTCTGAGATCACTGAAAAAAACAATGTCTGAGGAGAAGGTGAAGGAGTGACAGCTGACAGGAAGAGGTGACCTTGACAGAATTTTATCTCTATAAACAGGTGACACCTGTCCTCTCCCATCAGTGATCAACTGTTTACATACTGCTTACCTCCTGCCACAGGGGAGGCCCCAAATTTTTCAATATCCTCCAATACAGTGGTTCTTGAACTATTTTTTCTCATGGCCCAGTATTTTTCTTTTCTGTGAGGAATTAGGGCCCATAGAAAGTCAGATGGTTTGGGCATGTGCATGCATTTACTGCTAGTTTGTTTCATCCAATTTCTGAGAGATGTTCAGTTGTTTGAAGCATAGTAAGTGGCACCTCCTTTGAGAACTACTACTAGGATGAAAACTTCTTATGCTGTATTGATAATTATAATAATAAAAATTTGTACTTATAGCAAACTTTGTTAAGTGTGATATAAATAGGTGGTGCAGTGGATAGAACACTAAGCCTGGAGTCAGACCTGAGTTCAAATCTAGCCTCAGTCACTTATTACCCCTATCACCCTGGGCAAGTCACTTAACCTCTACCTGCCTCAATTTCTTCAGCTATAAAATAGGGATGCCTGAGCTGTGAAAGCAGCAGAATGATGTAAAAGGACTTGGAATCTCAGACCAGATATCCTCCCCAAAGAAGTACGCACAGCCCAACACTAACATAAACTCCAAAGTAAAAAAAAAAGATGCTAGAAGAGTGAGCAAACAAAAAAAAGAATCTTACCATAAAGAGGTAATACAGCAACAGGAAAGCTCAAGACAACCTCAAAAGAAGAGAGTGACTCCAAAGATATACAAACAAAGCCTCAAAGAAAAATGCAGCTTGGATACAAGTCCAAAAAGAATTCCTAGAAGAGTTAAAGCAAGAGTTTAGAGAAAGAGCTGAAAAATGATTCTAAAAACCAGTTGTGAGCAATCAAGGGAAAAATGGGGAAAGAAGTGAGAGCTAAGGAAAAAGGATGTGAAAAGAGAATTAACAACTTAGAAAAGGAGGTACAAAACTTACTGAAGAAAATAACTCCTTGAAAATTAGAATTGGCCAAAATGAAGGCTAATTGCTCCATGAGACATCAAGAAATAGCAAAACAAAGTCAAAAGACTAAAAAGAAAAAAAAGAAAACATGAAGTACCTCATGGGAAAAACAACTGAGCTGGAACATATCAAGGAGGGATAATTTAAGAATCATTAGACTTCGGGGCAGCTAGGTGGTGCAGTGGATAGAGCACTGGCCCTGGAGTCAGGAGGACCTGAGTCCAGCCTCAGACACATAACACTTACTAGCTGTGTGACTTTGGGCAAGTCACTTAACCCCAATTGCCTCACCAAAAAAAAAAAAAAAGAAAAAGGATCATTAGACTACCTGAAAGCCATAAGCCATGATGAAAAAAAAAAGAAGACATAGACATAGTTCAAGGAACCATAAAAGATCAGAATCAGAGGACAAGGCAGAAATTGAAATAATCTACTAGTAACCTCCTGAAAGAAATTCTCAAATGAAAACTCTTAAGAATATTATAGTCCCAATCCAGATCTTCCAGGTCAAGAAAAAAGTAATAGAAGTATCCAGAAAGAAAAAAATTATAATATTAGCCAATATAGCATATCAGTCTTATCTTATAGGACTATAAATTACCATGTCCACACTGGCTTAGATCATGGAACAATGCCATTACATAACACATATCATTGAACAGTACTATCTTCATTTTGCATACTGCAGCAGTTCTCAAAATGTGGTGTCTATCCCAAGACCTTTTTCCAGGGGTCTTTGAGGTCAAAATTGTTTAAACAATAATACTCATTTTAATTTCTTATAAGGTAAATAAATATTGATAGATGTGACTCACGTAAAAGGTCTTTTGGAAGTCCTCAATAATTTTTAAGAATGTAAAATGGCTTTGAGACCAAAGAGTTTTAGAACCTCTGGGCACTGATTTAGTTTTCAAAGTGTTTTCAAATACATTTCCCATTTGATAAGTCACCCAGTGTTTGAGATAGGTAAGAAAAATGTTTCATTCTCATTTTCAAGATGAGGAAACTGAAGCCCAGTGAAATTGACTTATCATAGGTCACGTGACTTTTAGGTGGCAGAAGCAGATCTTCTAATTCCCAAGTTTGTGCTCTTCCTACCACACTATTCTCTGTCTTCTAAGATCTGATGGTCCCTTCACAGCCACCTTTATCTATACTTGAGCATGTCATCCAGAACACACCCTGTTAACATTAAACTTCTAGATTCAAAGACTGTAGGTAATAAATGTAAATGAAATAAGGAAATGCAGTATTAGATGTATTGTCTTGTCTATTTTCCCTGATGGATCAATACTGCTTTCCCATAATATATAGATATAAAGGTCAATAACAATTAAAACCAGCTATTGCACTAAAATGAAATTAGAGAGAAAATCAGAATTATGTCCCCCAAAGCAATGAAAATTAATTCAGTTTCACTTTTCTCCATCAAATTAAATCAAATATAAAAAAGGCTAAGACAGGCAAATCAAGGAATGGCTATTTATAATTGTCCCCAAATTATAACAACCCAGTTATATAGCTGCTTCCCAGGCTTTTTATTATTGTGCCAAACAAAGTGAGTTTTCATTTCATGTCATTTGCAATTACCATTCCATAATTGAAAAACAGTAAATTACCATGAAGCTTTTTGGGAAGAGGGGCTTACTGCATTTGAGTTGTCACTATAATTATGGTAGAATAATCAATCCACAGACTCATACACTGTGCCTTGC